TGGGGGGGGGGGGAGATGCTTTTCAGGACTCCCGCAGCTGATAAGGAGTCTCATGCTTGCACAAATGCAAAATGCAATTCCTTTAAGCCAATGAACTGTCTGTGGAAGAACAACTGCTAGATTCTGATTAGTGTCTTAGCAGAGGGCAATTTTCAAAGTATCTCCAGTTACAGGCTTCCTTCTTGTTTGTAGAAGGGAGTTTAATACACGATTTCTGTTGACTTACCTGGAAATCTTTTGATAGCTGATAAAAAGCTCGTAATGTATTCCTAGACCACTGAGTGCCTGTGCTTAGTAATGTAAGTTCTTTGTGAAGAAAATGTAAGTGAACATGGTAAAAAGCTTGTTGCTTTTAACTAACACTGTTGAATTTTTCTTAATTTGTATGCAAAGGGATAGCTAGCAACTTCAAGTGTGGACATAAATGCAATACTGTTATGTCCTGTAATGTCTTCTACATGAAGATCTTCAACTGGAAAAGCCTTAATAAATACAGCTTAAAGAATCCACCAGCGTATTATGAGATGCAAGATAAATGGAGGTAGACAAAGGTGAAGAAGTTGAATGTGGTATGAATGGCTAGGTGGTCTAAGCTCCTTTTGGAGCTGGGGATGGACTCTAGAAATACACATTTGGTTGACAGAATGGCTGTGCCACGTCTGTCTGTGTGACATGATAAATGTCATCCTTTTCATACCTGAGCTTCCATATTGCATATGCAAGTAGTATACAGTTCTGAAGGTCTGCCTTTCTCTTGGGATGTTCTGTACGTGTTCTGATACTGGACTGATGAAGAAGTTCTGCCTTCTCTGCCCTCTCCCAAGGAGATGAACACTTGAAATATCCCAGTATGTATTGCAGGGATCTAGCTATACACTGGATAAATTGATTCTGCCGAGTAATGTAAATTCTCCCAACTTGAAGGGAAAGACAGAAGTTGCGTGTCTATTTTACTACAAGCCTTCTTCGAGGCATAGTTCTCCTGTAATTTGACGTTACTGCAGGATTGTAAATGTGATGCTCCTGTTCTGTTGTTAGGCAGCACTGGATTTATTTGCTAAAGTAAACTGGATTGAATCACACGTGGCTTATAAAAAAGACAGGCTGGGACTGACTCTCAGATTACAGGAGAAAATCTGATATCTCAGTTGAGGAATGGTCAACACATAGTCTTTCCACTTTCCTTCTTTAAAAAAAAACATAATCTTGCTGCTTTGTCACAGTCATGATGGTCCACTGAGATAGATCTCCGTACTGTTAGCAGTCCCATATTGTTGCCAGTCTGTTAGACATTTGGAGAGGAAAAGCTGTGGGTGTGGCTGTTGGATGGTCGTGGGGCAATCTCATTCAGCAACCTACTCTGGTCTAGTCATAAAACAGAAGTAAGGCTAGATTGCTGAAGCTGAGTCAGATCTGTCAAAATGTCCTGAGGAGACGAAGCTAATGCATCTCTGAAGGCTGCTTTCGCACATAAAATGAGCAGTTTCTCTTTAGTTATTCATGACTTTAAGTGTTTCAGGGGTTGCATTCATTACTGTAGCTGCTGAAGAAATTTCTAATATGCAGGAAAAAAGTTTATACCACGGAACGAGACTGGATATATAATGTATAACAAAATTGCAGACTTAAATGAATTTGAAGTAGTAACTTAGAAATAAAGTTTGGACTAAATCCAATTTTGTATTGTCAATCCAGAACAACGTCCTTAAGGCTTTTATGGTAAGATGAAAAGCTGAATAGGAGTGATTTGATAGGGAAGACTGGGGGGACAAAGATATTGGTCCAAACTTGAGAGAATGCAGTGAGATTCCTGGGGTAGCTGTGGGTTTGGGATTCAGGAAATACAGGTTTTGTTCTGGCTTTATTGCTGGCTGAGCTAGATGACTGTGGGAGAACTGCTTCAGCTTTGTGCCCTGTTCCCCACACCTGCAAAAGAGGGATAGTTTCACTGCTGGTTAAGTGCCTTGACAGCTATTTTGAAGTCTCATGCAACATCTAGGTGGTGCTGAGGGTATAAAGGAATTTTGGCAAAACTACTTTCCACTCAGGGGAAAGGTAATGAAAGAAAAGTGTGTGTGTAAGGGTGTTAAATTCCTGGCCATGTGAATATCCTGTAGCCTTCTAGATTTCGTCTGAAAGCAGTGTCTTTCTGTGGCTATGGTTTCTTTTCCATTCTACTTGAGCTTGAAACTCTAGCTCAATCTTCATACACTCTTTATCATTGGGAGGCTTGTAATTGCGTGGGTGTCTGTTACTCCCAGTACCTTGTGAGTTTCTGGATTTTGCTCTGTACATTTGTGATAGAAAGATCGTTCTGTGTTTGTAGTGAAGTGCAGGCTTCCAGTCTACACTAGTCCTTAAACTCCTCTGCTGCAAACATTAACTACAAGTGTAGGATTGCAGTGCTGAGAGGATAAACTGAATTGTTGTCTTAGAGAGAAAGTGGACCTTTTCAGGTTTTTTAAGTGAGGAAACTTAAATCTTGAAAGTCATTTTATACAGAAACAATTGGAATCAAGGTAGGTGGGTGTAGAGGTTATTTTATGATGCTTAGGGATCTACTGAGTTCCTTGTCTGAATGTAGCTGGTGACTGCTGCATAGCAGGGAGGGAGGAATGACACCTGTGATACAGAAAGGCTTTCTGAAGCAGTATGTAAAGATGAATGTAGCAACTGGAGCATCCTTGAAACCTACATCTCAGGGATTGGGTAGTTGCTCTGCTTTCCTTCTCAGAGGGTGAGGATTGTCTGCGTGTTTGTGTATCTTCACTGCTAGTAACCTCAGCTGTGGCAGTTGCACACGTAGAACGAACCTTGTTTAACAGATGTACTGACTCTCTCTTTGTTTTTTCCCTGTTGCTTGTGGCTTCCATTCCTGAACTTCTCAATCCATTGTTGGACTATAGAGTGAACCATATTTCCATTTAAGCAGTCCTAAATAGAGGGGCCCTTGCTGTTGGAGAACTCCAAAATCAAGAGATTGCAAGGAAGATGTTTCTGCTCAGGACTGGAGTGTGCTGCCTTCAGGTGGTGTAGGCCACTGAAGTGTTCTAATATACAACACAGCAAGCAGCTCATTTACTTGCCATATACTGTTTTTGTAATAGATCCACTGTAGCTGAGGGCAACCTCAGTTTGACTTCTCCCCACAAAGATAAACTTCTACTTTTCTACGCTAGACAAGCTTGCTCAAGACAACTTAACTTCCTGTGTTCCAAATGAATTAAATTCCAGAATTGTACTCGGTGTGGCTACCACCAGTTTGCGGAGCCTGTTCAGGTGTCTGCTGCTGTTTTCATATGTCAGAGTATTTTTTTTTTGGTAGTTGAAGTGATACTTCTGTTCCTGCGTGTTTTTAAAGAGCAGGACTTAATCTTTGCTACCAGCTCTGGTCTTCTCTAAAGTTAACAAGACTTTTCAAGAAATAATTAAGGTGTAAGTAGTCACTTTAAAACTGTTTCCTGCTCTTTATGCTCCATTGTACACCAGTTCCACGTTTAATTAAAACAAGTGGAACTTGCTCATGTAAAATATGACTTCTGGTAGTGGGATTTAATTCGGCGTTGACTACTGATAGTATTTCCCACCTAGGTCATCTTTTTCATGCAGTCATTCAGTCCTGTTTGGACTGGGTGGAAAAAACATGAAAGCAGGCTTAACTAGTACTGTATCTGGAGATGAAACAAGATTGGTTCTTATTTAGGCATTACTGCAATGGAACCATATTTTTAGTTGCTTGGTTCACTTTTTTATATTTCAATTTGATTTCTTTGTTCTGTTGAGTTAGTTTGGGAAGTACTGTGTCCCTGCTGAGACCTCAGCTCAGTGAACATACGAAAATAGCTGAAGTGAGTGTTCACCTTGGACAGTAATGAGGTTTTTTTTTTCCTTATCTGTTAGTTTTATCCTTCAGTGCAGCAAAACCTGGGATCTTTTCAGACGTGTATTTCTGTATTATGCTTATTTTCTTGTCTCAGTCTTGATAGGAAGGGTTGGATGAAGACAGATACCTGTTGGCTTAGTAGGAGTGACACATGAATTAAGGACAAAATGAGCTAGCATTGAAAGCTGAAACTACCAGTGACATGTTGATGGGTAGAAGAAGATGTATAAAACCCCCAAAAAGTCAAGTACGTGTGTGAAGGTCACATCTGTAGCACCTAAGATGGAATTCACATTTCTCACATTAGCGCTGCCAAGACAAAGGCAAACCAAGCTTATGAGGTATGTTTTGAAAATCAGGAAGGTTTGAGGTGGTGTGAGTTTTATGTTGCCACTTCACAGAAAAGCGTTTTGGTGAGCACACTCTTCCAGGTATGCTGTGATCAGCTTTTAGGTGCTTCAGTAGTAGGAAGTTATAGAACTTCCGCTATCAAGTAGCTCAAAGTGTGTATTTGGTGAAAGAGTAACTTATTATGAATAGGGGTGTTATCTGGAAAACAGGCAACGCTTGAGAGATGAAACTGAAAGAGAGTAGATTTAGATCGGACATAAGGAAGAAATTTTTTTACAATGAGGGTGGTGAGACACTGGGGTTGCCCAGAGAAGTTGTGGATGCCCCATCATTGGAAGTGTTCAAAGCCAGGTTGGATGGGACTTCAAGCAACCTGATCTATGAAAGATGTCCCTGCTTGTGGCAGAGGGGTTGGACTAGATGATCTTTGAAGGTCCCTTCCAACCCAAACCATTCTGTGATTTGTGGCTTCTAAATTAAGTGAATTTGCAGGGAACAGAGACATCTGCTGGAAAAGTTCAGCAGTTTTAACCACATTATGGGAGGGGTCCTGTAAGGAGTGGGAGAAGGCTGTTGCTGGCCTTATGTGTATTTAAACTGCCTGGACTGAGGGTGCAATCAGGATCTGAAGCAGTGGCTCCCATGCTGAGTTCAAGGTTTTAGCCTGCTTGCTGCAGAGCAGGCAGAGTAGTTTGTAGGTGGAATAGTTAATTTAACAGGCTGTATTTTCTGTCAGTACCATGCTGAGTTTTGCTGGGAAAAGATTAAATGTGTGGTGAGAGTGGGTAGCACATGTGACCCTAGTATAAGAGGAAAAATTGATGAATCTATAGTAGTCTAACACTGGTCCCATTATTCTTGTACAGTGCAGTAGACATGTATTTTGGCTGAGTTCAAATATATGAAATGGCAAGTGATGTCTGACCTGCTGGCAGATTTTATTTTTCCTTTTTAAAACTTTTGTCCAACTTGATTTCTTGCTAGATGTCTTTTGTCTGCTTTGTTAAAGTAATTCCATAAGCATTCATATTTCACCAAATTTCTGACCAAAAACAACTATCAATAAATAGTACCATTTCTCTTCTGAGCTTTAACAGGGAAAAGTGACAGTTGTATAGCTTTCTTTGGAATAGATTTTTTTAAGTAGAGTCATTTAACTGCTGTACTGTATTTAAATGCATTAAATTCCAGTTAATTAGTATTTATCAAAAGAATACAAATTGCTTTCTGCAGTAAAATAATTTGAGTTCTTGTGTCAGTATTGGGAGTAGGTCCTGGTATTGCCAACAGAGTTGAACTTGTCTACCTGTACACCTCTCTCGGTCAAAGAGCATAAGATGAAAAAGCTTGAAACTGCACAGATTCTGTTATTTTTTGATTAAAAAGGGGATGTTTTGATTAATGGCGAAACCTGGTTTACTCTGTTATCTTGGCAGCATTTTCAGAATGTTTGTCTAGCTCTCCTCATTCATAAC